CTATCGTAAAATTCATACCTAATTTAATCTGTAACTTGGTATGATTTATAATCTGTTCTCCTTTTGAAATCTGTTTATTGAAATTTGATTTTTTTTTTTCAATTAATCTTTAACTTTATTATTCAGTTTGTATGCTGGAAAGGATATGACAATGGATGCGCCAAGCATTGCTCCAAATGTTAAAAACCAATGTAGATAAAAGACGTTAAGATTTTCGTCGGTGTAGCAATCAGCCGTTTAGCTTAGTAGTTAAAGCGTCAGGCCGCGAATGCCGAAGACATGGGCTCGATTCCCACAGCGGCGACAATCTTTTCGTACTTTTTCTACATATTTTAATTTAGATTATTCTGTTGAGTACATTGAAATAAAAGCGTGCTTCGTGCCAATCGCTGGGGCAGGAATATGCTCAGCAGTGGACTCAAACAGGCTGAAATCATGATGACGACCATGCAACGAACCAATACAATGAAACAATTTAGTTGTATACTAAACCTTTGCTGTATAAACTACGAAACTGACTTTGAAGATATAATGAGAGTTTAATAGATGTAAATTGAGTCAAGGATCGTTCTTCATTTGTGCTCGTAATAAGATGTTTTATAAATGACTTATTAAATTACTGAATCGCTTCTGTGAAGAGTTGAATAACAAATTTAGTGTTTCAAAACTGTTCATTCGTTTGGTGAATCTTTAGTAGTTCCTCGTAGTTTAGTAGTAATATTTAAAGATGTTTGTAAAATCATACTAATATTACAAATGCGAAAGTAACTCTGTCCGTCTGTGTCCCTTTCACGCCAAAACTACTGAACCGATTTAAATGAAATTTGGTACACAGATAGTCTAGAGCCTGAGAAAGGACATAGGCTATTTTTTAATTGGAAAAAAGTGTTGTAAAGTATTGAAAAATTAAAGAAAGATATTTATTTAAGGGCTTCAACGCGAGCGAAGCCGCGGGCGAAAAGCTGGTGATCTATATGTGAAGACTGACACTAGTTTACACATTGACACTGACTGACACTAGTTAACACCATTGGAGTTACTTCGGCAAAATTTATTAATTCTTGGTTGTCTTAATATATTGAGTCTATCACCCCACCACACCTTATTTGACAAACTATGATCTAACCACAGAATAATACTTGGTTTAACAAATAAACAAGAATTAATACGTGATATTTAATTTTGATTAAAAATATTGTTACAAGCGACATAATTATTAGACTGCGACTTCATAAGGAGGTGGTTCTCAATTCGACTGTATTTTTTTATGTTTGTTATCTCAGAACTTACCATTGACTGAACCGATTTTGATGATTCTTTTTTTTTTTCTGAAAGCTCGTGCTTCCCATGTGGTCCCCTTAAGTTCCCCTTAAGGTACTCCTAAAGATCAATTATGAAATGCATACGAAGCGCGATATTTGTAGTCGGTTTTGTTTTTTGTTAGTAAAAAAATTGACTTCTTGTCCAAGTGCTTCAGATCAGAACTATAATCGACTTGTGACCATTGAATTGGATGAGTAAAGATTCGATTAATTCAGCAAATTCTGTGTTTATTTTCAAAACTCTATAATTCTCAACAAGGTTAAAGCGAGATTAGCGTCATCAATCTCGCCCTCTGTGTGTTTTCATAATATCTGTATGTGTATGCTAGGACGGAGTATGACGTGGTCAGTCTGGCATCACATCTACGCACGGGTCTTGCCAGGGCCGCTTTGAGTCAATCGACAGACAGGCCGTCTTCTCAGAACGGTAATGGGCACGTATAATTAGATTGTTTTCACTGGCGCAGCTTAGATATGGTTAGAATCGCCACAAGGGACGTTTTAAAGTGAGAGGTAGGCAAACGAGCTGGCGGTTCACCTGATGTTAAGTGATAACCGCCGCCCATTGAGATTTGCAGCACCTTGTAAGGTTGGCTATGCGTTGCCACCTTATAATGAAGTGGGTCCCGGCTACCTCACTCACCAGACGAAACGTAGAATTACGCCGTGATGTGAGGTTGTGGTACTCACCCGGACGGACTTGCCCATTGAATGCAAACACACTTTCTCGCTCCATCTCATAACACAATAAACAAAATCTTCTTCACACAGAACACAAGCATGGCAGGTAAAATAAGTAATGTGTATTTGACTTAAAATAATTTTACCTTTATTATTTTTTTATTGTATCCTATTTTAATTCCTTACGATTATTACGCAGGGCCATCTAACTCTTTCCCCCAAGGTTCCACTGAAAACCAGCATTCACGAAGGTTGTCAACTTCGTGATATGAAGCTGAGTGGTGACCATTTTGGTATTTAGTTTTTTAGCATCTATTGTATCTATTTTTTTTCTTTATTATGTACCAAAAAAATGTTTCTTTCTTTCTTTCTTTCATTGTCCTTGCATATCCGTCATAATTGTTCACGATTTTATTATTGCCTAGCACAACTTTAACATTTAACCGTAATATTGGAGTGAAGTTATAATTACAATAAAATACTGAGATTGGAAAGATGACTTTAGGAGACTCTACTAGGGGTGTTCCCTAGGGGTCCGGGTCCTAATTTAATCCTATAGTAACATTTGTCAACCTCGCTTGGTAAAATTCAGGTTTTAAAGAGGCACCAATGCACGTCTGATTATGTTACGAATCATATATTTGAATATTTTCAGGACATAAAAGCTTTTGTATTTGTAACTTGTAAATATAAAATAATGATAAATCTCTGGACTGTCTTAATTTTTTTTATATGTCAGATTTTTTTCATATGTATGATAAAGGCTGTCCGTAGTGCGGAGGCTATAGCCGTTTTATAATGGATAGACTTTTTTCAACTAAAATCCTTAAATGCAAACGGTATATTATGGAATATAAAAAAAGTATATAATTATATAAAAAATATACGTAACCAGGGCAGGACATTTATCAAGGTAATGTGACTATTAATATATCGATAATGACTTAAACTGGAGTCCAAGAGTTGTACTCTTGACATGATTGTTTTCTGCTGTGGACGAAGGCAAGGTCTCGGCGAATCGATATTGATAAAGTTATTAATCAATAAATCATGTTTTCAATTAGACGACGTTGTTCATTGTGTGATTGTGTTTTATTTATACAATTATTATTTAAATACGTCAGCAGTGGACCATTAGTGTGATTGTTGCACGAGAAATTTGATCGTCGCGTTCGATTCCGAGTGGTATTTCACATTTCTTACGCGATTTTTTCCCCTCACATTTGCGAAAAGATTAACTAAAATAATAATGTTTTTAATTATTGGACATAATTTATTATATAATTAAAATTATTTATTTATTATGTATTAAAATATATAATTGTCTATTTTACATTAGGATGGAAGCACGGAAGATTGATTATTTGTATTCAAAGTAATTGTATCGCTAACCGTATACAGCATATAAAATAATCTAGGGCTAATCTCTGCACTTAAGATGAACTATTAAAATATGTAGTAAAACATGGACGAAAAGTTTTTCTCCGCAGCGGGAATCGAACCCACGTCTTCTTGATTCGTGCCTAGACCCTTTAACCAGTAAGCTGCTGACAAATGTCAAAGAATATTGCAGGTAAATTACAGTGGGATTTTCTTCGGTGTGGCAATCAGCCGTTTGACTGAGTGGTTAGAGCTATTGGTTAAGTCCATTTTTTTTAGAAAATTAAATTTTAATAAGATTCTATATTAAATAGGGAAGTTCATCTTCACGCAGGTTACTATTTCTAGCAGTTATCTAAAAAAATTGAGAAAACAAGGGTATTTTAAAATTAGTGTTTCATTATGTTATTTTAACATTACGTCTACTGTATGATAAGTTACCCTGTGTTGCAGATTGATTTAACTGGGGTCTTCACAACACGTAAATGACAATAATGATATCTCACCCAGAACGTGTTCCGTTTCCAGGTGCTATCAATGTTTTCAAGGTACCGAATAATTAACTTCATAATGCGTGGAATAGACAAGACAACATTCAACACCGTTTCAAAACGCGAACGACCATAACCGCACAATGAGCCAGGTGCAAACAACAAACAGATGCCGCGCCCAGGCTCACGCGAGATGAATCGCGATGAACGCCCATTGATGTGCAAATCTAATGCACCGCGGATGCCTGCACGCGGGAATTCTAGATGGCCTACTTCGTCTAACACACATGTATTATAAATACATTCTTTATCGCGTCAGTTTCGATGCCAAATTTTAGTTTGATAGAGTCAAATCGCGATTGTTCATTCGAGAGTTATTATGGAATATCAGAAGTCAAAACTAATAAGTAACACGGACACGCAAGTTGGTTTCGTTCGGGGGTTTTTCGTATCTCTTTCTGACAAACTTCTAAAAAGAAACGCTTCTCTGTTCGTCGGTGTTCTTTTTCGGTGTATGTATGGTGGTTTAGGAAGAACTGTTCCTGAACAGTTCTTCCTTCAAAGATTCGTTTTTGGAACTAGTATCAGGAGGATACTTTTGGTCGTTTATAAAATTGGTCATGGTCAGATTATTGGATCAATGGGAAAATCGTCACCCGTGTGACATTGAAGAACTTTTTACCATGGCAACCGATTTCGGTGATCGGAAGATATTTTCTTATTCGAGTTTTTTAATTATTTTAAAATTGGAATCTAACCCTTTGTAGCTTTTTGGAACTGGTTCTATATTTTTTTTCTTTTATATTTCATTAATTATGTCACAGGTTCGAAGAAGATAGGGTTATTACCCCAAAGGGAGGACGTCAGGAAGGCAGCCGGTTGTAAAAAACCTTAGCCACTAACTTCATCATTTAAATGTTGTGCCGAGCCCACCTAGGGGAGATAATGACAGGAGAAAGAAGAATTAATATTTTTTTTATGGGAAAAGGAGGCAAACGAGCATGATGGGTCACCTGATGGTAAGTGATCACCGCCGCCCATGGACATTTGCAACATCCGTTGAGTCGCAATTACGTTGCCGGCCTTTAAGGTAGGAATAGGCTCTCTTCTTGAAGAAGCCACTCACCGCATTGTCCAAAACTGTTCGATCCATAGCGGCCACAGTTTCCGCCGTCAGCGAGGATATGTTCCTCAGGAACCTGTTCAGCTCGTCTCCGGCCATCGCCGAGTACTCCGTGAACAGCAGCAGGGCATCGGCGCTGGCGGACCTCCATTCTTGGATCAGCTCGTCCGTGTACCGCCTCTCCACTTCGCCCGTCTCCTCGGAGTGGGGAGCTACGTCCACGTAGATCGCTGCCTTATTCGGCTGTAACAATGAATGAATGCTAAAGACTTAACCTGATTTAACTGTGGTAGGGTCACGCAACAGTCTCACAGAAGACCGGCGTAAAGTAGAAATGTTACACTTCTGCGATTCGTCTGGTCAGTGAGGTAGCCACTTTATTTACTATACTTTGAGGGCCCACTTTATTTAAAGGTGGCAACGCATTTGAAACCCTACGGGTATTGCAATTGGCGGTTATCACTTAACATCAGGTGAACCGTCAGCTCGTTTGCTACTTTTTCACATTAAAAAAAAACCTGATCATTTTTATACGTATTGAAGAGGTGTCAAAGCCACGCCATGCCCATAGAGCTATACCAGAGGAGTAGCAGGTGTGAACCCTGAGAAGTGATGGCTTCTGACCGTTTAATTTACTAGATGAAACATTGAAATAGATATTAGATAAAAATGAAATTAAAAAAATCGTATGGACCCAATTGCAACAGCAACCCGTGCAACAGCAAATATTGATGCAAGTATCTCTAGATTTTTATTTAATGAATTATAAATTTCTCTCAAGAATAGAATTGTGAGTTATAATTTTGTGTAGGAAATTTACTCGATACCATATTTTTAAGTATACAGGATGATATTTTAGACGAAGTACATACTTTGACATAATGTTAATTGAGCATTCCATAATTCAAAAAAAAATATTAATATTTTATTTTCACAAGAAATAACCAGAAAAATATCAATTCAAAAATCGTTTGTTTATCCCGTTAAGGGTGGTTACCCTATTAAGAAGCTGCTTAGTAATTATGCGTTCAGCGAACAGTTTTAGTGCTCGTGAATAGGTTAGTGTATTGAGACGGTAAGGCAGGAATTTCTAATAGTGTGTCCATAATGTATGAAAAAAATCTTTGAAAAAAAAAAATTAGGTCACAAGTTCGTATCAGATTCAGATTTAGAATCAAATTCTGCAAATGCTCTGTTAATATGCCCGTCGTCTATAAAATCATCCTGTATAGCTAAATAAAATACAGCGTCACCGTAACTCCAGTTAGAATCAATGCGTATCAGTCTAGGGTCTATTCTCCACTAAATGGAGCACCGTGAAGTTTCTTTTTGATAAAGAAAATGTACGGTAAATAACCTAGGAAAATTCATACATTTTTAATCATATGTTATTAATTCGACTAATTTTAAATACAGATAATCCTAAGAATACACAGAACCTTATATTACTTAGTAAGTTAACGGCAGGTTTCAATATTCTATCTACAGGTAGATTAGGTTACTAGCCATAATATTTGGGTAGGCTCCATAATAATTACGTCAAAATTCGATCTCCAGTAACCAAATCTATCTATCTGTAGATAGAATATAAAAACCGGCCGTAAGAAGATGTTAACAAACAAACAGACATCGCAACGTGTTATTCATAGAATTTCAATTGCAGCTTTCTATTTTTTTTTATGCGAAAAGTTGTCAAACGAGCAGACGGTTCACCTGATGTTAAGTGAATACCGCCGCCCATGGACATCTGCCACACCCGAGGGTTACAGATGCGTTGACAACCTTTTGAAAATTGGGCTCCGGCTAACTCACTCACCAGACGAAACGCGAAAGTATTTGTCATACTTCCACTTTACGCTGATCTTCTGTGAGGTCGTGGTACTTACCCGGACGGGCCTGCCCATTCGTGCAAAAGCCGAAGCTGCTGCGTGGCCCTACCACCGTAAATATTGAATATCTATATATTGAATACTAAAATGAAGCAATTGTAAACAATCACATAGATTAGAATAATCGAGTGTAAAAAGTTATAAATGAATTACTGATGTAAACCTTATACACAAACGATCTTTTTATTGTAACACTCGAAATAAACACTCATTTCCGAGTGCGCTTAGCTAGAAAACAGATAAGATAAAATATGCTATTATCATTTGGAATTAAGTGCACTTTTGCTTCAACCGTAGCTTTTCTAAGAAGCTCTCGTTAATAGGAAGTAAGATGTCTGTTAATTCGATTCAACTATTGAAAATGAGCGTTACAGAAAAACATTCAACGGTGGATAAATACATATTACAAACAATACATATCTATCTGACAGTTTGTTAATATGACTTTACAGCTTGAGGTTCACTGCTCCGATTTGTTTGATACCACATTTGCGAAATATATTAAATGGCCAGTATAATTCTATACAATTTATCACGCAAAAATAGATAGTTTTTGTGCGTTCGCACTACTGGAAAAATATTGTGTGATGAACGTATTTATCTAGTGTCTGGGTTTTTATATGTACGGAACCCTAAAAAGACATAGAAAAAGGAGATAAGCTTGTACAATGGATGGTTATTACCAAGCTTTCGGGCAACCTAATATATTGGATTTAATTCAAGAAGAAACACTTCTAATACTTTGCTAAAATATGCAAATACAATCAAAAACAAACATGCTTGTATGGAAAACGGTCTTTTAATAGAAATATACAGCGTGTCGTTACAACCGCGACAATAAATGAACACACATACAGAGGATAACTTTTTAAAATTGTATTAAACATTTACATTCTTTAAACATCAACATTTACCAAGTTATTAATGTTTCCAAAACAAACAATCTTAGAACACCCTTACGTATAAAACTGTAACGTAAAGTTCATTTGTAAAGGTCACAAAGAATATGAATGGGTTGAATGAATTTAAAAGAGATAAAACATGCTGTTACAAAGAGAGACTTGTAACGTGACGCTGTGGCAATGAATTAAAAAGTCTCAGAATGTATGAATCAGTCAGTTGTAGCTGTATAAGATGTTACAAATTTTGTTTCTTTTTTATTTAATTAATTTGTTTGAAAATATTTTTTTTTTTAATTATGGATTTTTTAAAGTTTATATTTTTTATGATTATTGGCAAGTAGCGTTAGAAGTGTGTTAATTTAAAGTCGCGGTTGTAACAGCACGCTGTATAACTGCATTTTCCGTTTCGCTATTTGATACTTGCAATCTGGACAAATGATAACCTAGTAACAGAGTACTGCACGCATGCATAAAAAATAAAACCCAGCATGCACACCATTGTGATTCGTACTCGCGACTATACAACGCATTTTTGACACAATATACTCAGTGTATGTGGTGTCACGGTCTTCTTGAGGTCACCGTTAATTCCCATCGATATCTAAGAGATCATGAAGTTAATGTCGTGAGATGTTATGAGATTGCTTAAAGTTAACTGACATTTCTGACCACATGCCGACCTCATGTAACCCGATACTCTATACGTAAGAAATCTGATTTTATGGCGTGGTCTGTGTAATTATTACACTGCGGAGATGTTACACTTATCCTCTGAACCATCATCCTCCTGCCCTTATCCCACCTAGGTGGGGTGGGCACAACGTGTAAATCATGTTATGAGTAGTATTGGTTAGGTTATTACAACGGGCCGCATGCCCGATCTCAACCCTAGAACAAAAACCCAAATACGCTACAATTATTTGCGGATTACACAAACACTTGTCCCGTGGGGGAATCGAACACACGACTCCCGGCGCCCTTTAAATGATGCATATATTAAAACTAGACATTTTAAATTCGTATTTTCAGGGGAAAATATTAATAGTAAGCAGTGCTATAGTAATGAAACAAAAAAAAATTGAGGGTATTCTGTTTTGATAAACAATTCAGTCTGTCCCGTGAACACGGACACCGCTATGTGTTCGAAACTTCGGAAGTTATTATATATATATATATATATATATATATATATATATATATATTTTATATGCGTAAAAAGCGATAATATCACATTTTTATGTAACATAGTGGTAAACTAGCCGGCGGTTCACCTGATGTTAAGTAATAATCGCCGCCCATGGACATTTGCAACACCCGTGGGGTTGTGAACGCGTTGCTACCTATAAAGTGGGCTACCTCACTCACCAGACGAAACGTAAAAGTTTAACAATTCTACTTTACGCCGGTCTTCTGTGAGGTCGTGGTACTTACCTGGACGGACCTGCCCATTCGTGCAACAGTGAACACTGTTGCGAGGCCCTACCACAGTGTAAACAATATGTACATTATCTCTTGTCATTGTGTGCAATCGCAATTGAACCACATATTTTGTGATACATGCATAAATATATTTTAACTTTTATTTTTACTGTTTCATTGATCTCATATAATACACGTCGAAACAGTCTTATCTCAGGTTACGGAGATCTGCCTATGCTGATCTGCTTAGATGCGTGGCTGGGAGTGAGAGAGATGAACAGAGTTCGTTTCTGTTCATCTCTCTTACTCTCACCCTCGAGAGAGTTTACGGTAACTGAAGTTAAACGCGCTTTGCAATAACAAAACACAAGTACAGTTTACGCGTATTTTCTTCTAACTTTCGACGCACGCTTTTACTTTCACGACATCGTAAAACATATTTCGAACGGTCTGACGTTTAGGAGACGCTACACGCAAAATTCCAACGTCTATTTTTAATTAATTCGACGTAAACATTACCGAGGTGTACACGAGGCGGTATATATTATAAACTAAGGTTAATTCGGAGGAATTTCGCTAATGCCTCTTAGAAGTTGTAGTGTATAAAAATGAGATGGATCCTTGTATGTTATAGGGGACAGGTAACAAATTTGAATCAAAAATAAAAATGCTAATTCGCAATTAATATACATTGTCCATATATTAATATGTGAAGAAAAAACTTTGTACCCCTTTTTACGAAAATTGTGCAGACGGAGGAGTATGAAATATCCAACACTTAAAGTTTATATAGAGATGGAGTGCTAAATGCTTATATTTTTTAAAGCATGAACACCAAAAATACATTAAATCAATATACACCCACTATCATGTATTTTACACACACACGCATAAATACTTGTTTGTTTATTGTGTATTTTATTTGAGAATAGGTCAATGTTGTTCAAAGTAATATAATTTAAATTAATTATGGTGTGGTGAATTTCGACCACTCGGCGTCCACTAGTTGTAAGTTAATATTCGTGGGCAGTTA